GTGTGTGTGTGTGTGTGTGTGTGTGTGTGTGTGTGTGTGTGTGTGTTATGTGAGATCAGTGCTGAGGGGATGTGGAGCACTGGAAAAGGTGAGTAAACAGTTGATAGTCACTAAGTCAACACCTTCCCAATGACACATTCAGCAGGAAGTGGATGTGACAACATGTGGATGAAGGATGGTCTCTGAAGAACAAAATAAATTCCTAGCATTCTTTGGGAGAATGCATATTGCTCACTTCAAATTGTAGCTCAGTATTCTAACCCCAGCTGAGTTAGAGTCATTTTGTGTTTGTGTGGTTTGTGAGATGGCCATTTTGTTTTGGTTATTACAATAAGTGATCTTTTGTAGACGCACATCTAATAATTACTTTCTGAGAGTTCCGTTAAAACTCATCCAGTAACTCATGAGATATTTTGCTGACAAACCAACACAGATACAGACAAAATCAGTAACAGATCTTCCAGGTTTAACACTGACCTTTAACCCTCTAACCCAGGGCTATTCAACTGGTGACCAAAAGTTCGGCCCACCAATTCATCTCTTAAGCTCAAACCCCCGGTTTTCTAATTTAATTGCTCTAAGTTATTTTAGTTATACATAGAAATGTTTGGTATCTACAGAAACACCAGAATCTTGGCTAGAAACTGGTGAAAACTATTTCATCCAGGACAGTTAAAATTACAAGCAGTTGAAGATAAAATTATGAAAGTGAAAATTAAATTGGTTTAAAAATTTGACAAGTCAGAGATTTACATATATTATATGTTTAACACAATATATATATTTGTGTTAAACAGGAGACAGAATGTGTTATTTTTGTTTTTTATTATTGTTTAATTATCACTACATTTGTTGTATAGGGTTCTATTATATCCATGGTTAAATGCAGAAAAATTAACTATTTCAAAGGTAACATATCTTTGTAATACTTTATTTACAAAATGACTTTAATTGATGGGTGTTTGGCCCCTGTGCCGGTGGTCTGCATTAACTGTGTCCCACCAAGAGCAGTTTAGTTGAATAGCCCTGCTCTAACCCAACAGAACAATATAAAGTCTTGAATCTTCCTGTGGATTAAATCTATCTTGGAATTCATGAGACTCAAGTGAAACAAAACGACATCTCTTTCCCTCCTAACTTTGTCTGTAGTCAGGGGTGGAAATTAGCACCCGCCACTTGCCAAATGTGGGTAAAATTATGAAGTGGCCTGAACAACGCACCTGCCACCGTGGCGGGTGTGTAATGAACTAATAAATAAATAAATAAAATACATTCAAATCGCGCTACTGACTTTTGTCAAAACCTCAGTTTCGTTTTTATTTTGCATGTCAGAGCCTGTAGGACGTAAAAAAACATTAAATAACATCAAACAACCATCTTCCAACCCGCTCTGCAGCTAGAAATAAGTCCCCTTGTCCTCCTTTCCTGCACGCTGTCATCTGTGTGGAACGCCTGCGCTGGCCCACCCCTGTGCGCACGAGCAGATTAAGAGGCTCATTATACAGGTAAACATCCGATTATCAGGAGAAAATAAAAACACCAACTTTAATGTGGCCTTACATACAATTTCTGGAGTTAAACGGGCAGCAGGTAACAAAACCCC